GGAAAAATACTATCAAAAAGATTCATATTTCTTTTTAAAAATAACATTTCACCTACTAACTCTGGTTTAAGATTTGATCTTTTTGCTGTTATATTATTTCCTATATCTGAAAACAATCTTTCGGATGGAACTGATGTTAGACAAATTCCAAATATTTACGTGCAAGTGTTGATAATATTGGAAAACGTGATTGTTTTAGTTTCCATCAGTCAAATGGATCAGTATTCTTCCCTTCCTCTTCTAAAGATAGATAATTATCTATTATACATGATTGCTATATACTCTTATTAGTTAGTATTATTATAATAATTCCTTAATTTAAAACTATTTAGAAGGTTTGCTATTAAAATCAAGATACTAATATAATAAATCATATAATCTATAATATGATTTTAATAGCTTACTTCCCATTTGTTTAAGTTGTTTAGCTAATTTTTTAATATTATCTTCCTTTTAGCTTGGTAAAATCATATTCTATTATATAATATCTTTCTATTTCAATGATTTTAGCTTGAGTAATAATTGCTAATTTTTTATTTAATCCATTTAAGAACCTTTGTATTTTAAAACATTTGGGATTTCTTCTGCATTAAATTTATTTGCTGACTTCTTAAATTTAGATGCATAAGTTTCAACCTTTTCATTTCCTGTTTCAAGTCTAATTACCATTTGTATAAATTTTCTTGAAATGAGAATCATACTAAGAATTTTTCTCTAAATCTAGCATTTGCATCTCCATCTCATCTGGTAATTGTTGTGCTTACTAAATTATACCAGTCAGCTGCTCCTTCTTGTAACATTCCTGCTGCAATTGTGACTCTTCTATTGTCAACCCATTGATTAGCTTCTTTTACTCTTAGGAACATTTTGATCTATTCTTAAGCATCTTCACTGTCTTTTTCATAGAAAGGGTCAACTTTAACAATTGAGATTCCTGCTACAGGTAGTGCTGAGATGTTGATAGTTTATTACAAGTAAGCAATCAGTACAGATTCTAAGTATTTTGTTAAATTTTGCATATAGCTGTATCCCGTGATATATTTTAAAGATTGTATAATTTATAAAACTTCATGAATTAGGTAGACATAATCTCGTACCATATAAAGAGAGTGGTATTTTTTTTTAGTTTCACTAGTTTCATATTGTTTTACAATTATTATCGTTATAATAATAACAATCTTTATTAATATTGTAAAGATCTAAATAAAAAAAAATAGGGTTCAAAAAAAAATTTTTGCTTATCATGATTGGCTAAATATTTTTTATAATAAGGAAATCAGAGATTGAGATTTCGTAAGATCGATCATAACTCTATCGTAAAACAAAATGAACAAAATTTTCTTATCCCTTAACAACGACAACATATTTTCTGGCATTATTCCAAACGAAACATATTGGTATAATGAAATCAGCAATTTTCAACCAAGACGGTTGGATACGACATATCTAGAATGGGCGGTACTACTTCTAGGATGGTATATCATTCTATCCTCAGTCCCTAGCTTATGGATAGACTATGACTTATGGAATGCATTTGTAAAGCGCGATACCATTTCCCAACCGCTGAGAGTAATAAAGACAGGACAACAAAAGGCTCTAGATACAACCTCATTCCCACAAATAATTCCCCATACTGAACTTCTTGATTCAGGCTCACAAAGAACGGTAATATCGAATACAAAATACGGCAATAGTGACCAAATATTTGGAAAGCAAAATGAAGATAGTCACTCAACAAAAAGCGAAAGAAAAAGAAGAATAAGTTGTCATTCCAAAATTACAATTCATACAGTCCAAAAATCAAACAATCCAGGAATCAGAAGTCATCAACGTGCAGCACAAATAACAGCACAAAAAAAAAAGATATTCTCTCAACCTCAAGAAAATCCCCATCATAGTATGAACGACCGCATCAAAAAGAAAAGGAAAGGAATGGCCTTTAAAGTCTAACTAAAATTAACATGAACGTTTTATGGGCCAGAATTATCGTTTTGTGGACGGAAATATATTCATTGTAACACTACACGTTTCATCGCAGTGGCTCTCGTAGTTTTCTACATGATGACTTTCTATATCCTGCAACATAACGATAATGAAAAGTCGCGATATATATTCTTGCAACCATCACTCACGTATAATGACTCTTACGAATGTATTACTATTATTATATCTCTTATAATTTTCGTTTAAAGAAGAAGGAGATAAGATGCGGAAAGATGAACTTTATTTTTTCGTTGGTGATGCTGCATCGAATACAGAGCTTGGGGCCGAAAATCATTAGAATCAATGATTGTTAAAAGTCTTAATTAATAAGGAACTTTATAATAATTTTTTAATTAGTTACTTATTAAAAAAATAGACATGAATTTCTTTAAATTTATATTCTTTTAAATGTTGATTTAGAAATTAGATCTTAGGACGAAGTCTTATTATTAAAAAAAAAGTTAAAACTATTATTAAATAAATGAATTATTAATAGCATCATCGATTTAGATGTATTCTATAATATTGATCGGAAAATTCTACAACAAATTTATATATACTGTACTGTATTTGTTAAATGAGAGGATAAATGATATTTATACTAAATTAAATTTATTAAGGTTAAGGTAGTCCCAATAACTTCATCATTGTGACTAATCTTTAAAATGAAAATAATATTTTACAGACAATAGACATTAATTCGAAGAAGAATTCTAAACTGCAAACCATGAACTTCTTTAAGAGCTCGCGTTCCATTTCAGCATCTTCTCTAACACTAATATATATTATGGTGGTAAATCTTTTTGCTTTGCTACTCGTATTTCTGTTGTTGCTGTAATTGCTATTTACACTAGTTGCAGCTGTATTTATTGCCACTTTTTTGACATCAATGTCATTGTTGACGTTAAAGTTGACAATTTGAAAAATTATAAATAAATTTGAAAATTTTGAAGAGAAGAAATTATTTTTTGGAAAAAAATCAAAAAATTCCAAACTTTTATTGGTTGCTCCTGTTGTCGATGTCATTGTTGAAGTATTTTAAATTGGCAAGTTATACGATTTAATAAGTGAAAAAATATATAGCTGAAATTTTTTGGGAGAAATTATTTTGAAAGAAAATAATAAGTTATTTAGAGTATTTTAAAAAAATAATTCTGAATGCAATCAAAAAAGGTTTATTACGGTAAATATACCGGTATTTACTCATAAAGTTTATTTCTGAAAATTGTACTTCTATTTCAATTCTTTCAATATATTAGATTATAATAATTCATATACGATCAGAAAGATTTATTGCAACATAAATCACATTCTACGCAGAAAAAATATCATATAATTAAAACAATTTATATTGGGAAAATTGCAAAGCAACCGTTACTCGACCTTCAACAGAAACAACCTCTAAAAGTCTTGATCGATTAATTTTGCAACGATCAAATTCAATTTATTGATTTTTGTCAATTCGTATAAATAATTCACTGTATATGCATTCGAATACAAATAGATCGATTACTTATCATACTTTATTCATATGATTTAATTACATATTAAATAGATGTCAGTTTCAACCTATTTAGATAATTCGATGAAAAAAATTTTTGAAGTAAGTAAATTATGATAACAAACAATAAATAATTCAAGGATTTCCAAAATGAAATGATATTTAAACATTGCATTACATTGTAAGATTGCAAGACTTACAAAGGTCGAGATTATTATGCAAGTGCTCGGTTTATAAAAAAAAATAATAATAAAACTTTATATTCTCCATCAAGTGATACGTAACTTTACAAAAATGTATTTTTCGGAAGCATTCACCAGAAATGCTTGTAAATTTATGAATTTAGCAATGCTCGAGTGGTTGAGGAATTTAGAGGTCGAAAATCTAAACTTACGTATACATGGGGTGTTAAAATTTGAATAATAAATGAATAATTTATAAACAAAATTTTTTATGATGTCAAGAATATAATTTGAATTTGACGTTGCTCAATGCTAAATTTCTGACATCGGAAATGACAAGTCAGATTAAGCGTAAGGTGTTGTAATGTAGACTTCTAATATTATTTGTTTCATATGGAACAGCGATTGGTATGTCTCCAAATATGTGATATTGAAAATCTCAAGCTTGATTTCGTCCATTTGATGTATTGTACGATTTGACGCGATGCGCAGCAAATTCTCGAATATTGAAATAATTAAAAATTTGGTCAAATTTCAAGCGTTTAAATTTTGCCGCAATTTTTGACCATATTCGGAAATTTTGTACCGAATATTTTTATTCGAATATTCATTGTCATAATATTTACGATCGGATATTCAATATATTATTTCCAAATGGCAGCTAAATGAAAATATTTCATCAACCAAAAAGTAAAGTCGACAACGGAATTTTCAATTCTCAATTTTGTTTTGCTTTGATATTTATACGCTTTTAGAATTATTTTCAAAGAAGTCTACTCTTTAACAAGAATTCGTTTTGGTATTTTTAACTTTTGTCACGTTTTGATTGTTTATCATTTAATGTAACACAAATTCTATATGAAACATTGATTGACATGCATGCAGGTTGATGTATGACAAAAGTACCTTATTTATATAAATAGTAATGAGAATCGAGAAAAAATATTAATTCGCAAGTTTCTACATAAAAAGCATTTTCAAATATAAATCAAGCTATATCCATCATTAATCATAATATATCACATTCTTGCTAAAGGATTACACAATAATATGGATTCATCAACTGCATGGAATATGAATGATGAATGTAATCTTTTAAGATTAATGTCAGACAGGCTTATAGTGAGTTATACAGGTAAGTTTATTACATTTCAAGTTGTGTAACTTTTATAATTTTGCTATGGAATCACATATTCTTACGTAGAGACTGGACTCGTATTCGTGTAACTCGAGTCAACTCGAGTTAAATTTTGATTCGAGTCAAAATTTCATAGACTC